ATGTCATGGAGCGTTACAACGAATAAACATGTGGAAGAAAGATAACTGTATGTACCCACCACACATCGCTTGTATTAGTAACCAGGAAACCGATGCACATCGTTCCTCGTCTAGTTAGCGTATGCATATCTGGCTACAAAAATACGACGTGAATATTGGGTACACGCCTGCTGTACAGATGTTCATCGCGGATACGCATTCCAGAGCTCATCTACCGGTACCCGAGCATAATCTGAAAAAAGTCGAGGCAATAGACCTAGCACAACAGCTGGCAGTGACAGAAGGTCGCCTATAGGAAATGTGACGCCCCACATATGATGGTGCAACGTTTCCAGCTTTGCGAGATCTTATTCTAAATGGTTGAGCAGAGACAAAACGGCAGCTACCGAAGGAACTAACATTCTACTTCAATTTTCGGGATGAACTCTCTGTCTACCGCGATTTTCTGTTCAAATGAAACTGTATTCTAGTGCCGTCATCGTTCCAACGAGAAATGCTGCAATAAACATCGCACTCATCTTGATGCCAACTATACCATTAACCGAGCAAGCGAATTGATCTGTTGGACAGGAATTACGGGACAAATAAAAGAGCATGTATCGTATTGTGAGGCGTGCAGTTCACAGTAAATCCAGCAGACAAGGGAACCAATGATGACGCATGATGTCCGTGATCGACCGTGGCAGAAGATAGCGGTGGATTTATTCAGAGAAAACAGGAAAGATTACTTACTCACGGTGGATTACTAGAGTGATAATATGACATCGATTTATTTGCCACTATGTTCACAGAGCCAGTAACCAACAAGCTCAGATATCAGTTTCCGTGGCACGGTATACCGGAGGAGCTGGTCTCCGACAATGGCCCCAGTTTACCAGCGGTGCATGCCAGGCGATCGCAACCGAGTGGGAATTCGTGCACCAGCAAACCGACCCATCTCACAGTCAATCGAATGGAAAGACGGAGTCCGCGGTGAAACAGGCCAAGCGACGGTTATCCAAGACTAGAGAAACTGGCGAGGACCCGTACCTCATGCCACTGGAGAACCGCAACACTCGATCGACGCATATCGGTTTGATCCCAGTACAGCGCCGATATAGCCGAAGGACTAGAGCTCTGATGCCGTCATCTGCGACAATTTAATGCCTAGTTTCGCCACAACCCGTGGGCTTACCGAAGAATCTGAGACGTTGAATGGTCACTCAGAAACGGTATTACGACCACTCTGCACTGGCACAAGCTGAGACAACAGCGCGGAGGATGTGTTGCTTCCACCATTACCCAATATTCAAGAGCGGTGGAAGCAAGTTATGGTGATTGCGAGGGTCGGTACCAGGTCATACGAAATAAAGGTTGAAGGGAAGACGCTCAGAGAAAATCGAGTACATTGGAGATAATAGCGGCGACAATGCTGTTGATTTGGAGTGGAACGCCAGATGTCGTGTTTCAAGGTGACCACGGTCACAGTTACAGCCAAGACGATGCGGAGTGGCGAGGTTTGCGGGGTTGCCAGCAATATGGAGGCACAGGAACATGAACAAAGGGTGGATGTGATGGGAGTGTCAGAAGCTAGTGAGAGCATAGACCAACCGAGTGATCCAGACAGCCTGTTGGAGGCGGACGTAACGGATTCGATTACTGGACTCGGATTGGCCGCTATTAGTGTGAGTGATTCATCGTTTGTTTAACTGAAGCAAAGGTGGATCGTCATCGATTCAGGAGTGTCGTTAGTTATGGACTTGTACGTGACGTTACACCGAGCATTTGGGCTTGATAAACGTGCTGTAATTGTTGTCGACTTGACTTTGTTGAGTAAATGCTTGTCCGTGAAGGACTGTGTTCTGCAATACTTGGGGTGCCAGTTCGATACGATTTCAGATGCTCCAATCAGGTTGGGCTGGCAGTAAAAATTTTGGCCAACATTTGGGCTTACTGTGGATGGCGTTTGGACGTTATCATTCTACCTACTTTTTGCAGCTACTCAATGCTTGCGTGAGAACACACGCTGAATATGCCATCCAAGCTTGTCATCCCTGGAAAAACGTATTCTCGTTGCTTTTGAGAAGCCAAAATGGGGGGCGACAAAAATTTAAGGGTATTGCTCCACCTCTTTTCCCTGTTGATACTAAGGACTCTAGTTTTTATTGAACAATGTCGCCTTCTGCGAGTTGAACTCATATTTGTGTATCAGATCCTCCATGATCCCATCTACCGATGCCAAATCCTATAGAAACGCAGCCAGAACACAACAGTGGGAGGCCACCATTTGATATTTGTAACACAGTCAAGCCGGTTGGAATGGCGCCGGAACTTTTCTCATGTCGTGTGTTCCAGCCGTGCAACTTACTACCGCATTTTATCATATCCGCTTCTAAGTTTGCGGTAAGTCCACGGTTACGCGTATTTGTTTTTTGATATATCCCTTTTATGATTGCACTATTAATCTACGGAAAACTGTGCAACGTTTGCTTTCATATCCGTGTTAAATCCATTGTTGTTCCATTGATACCCCGGGCTTCTGTCCACTCGTTTCGTTCCAGGGATTTGATGTTCTCGAACCTACACTTAGACCTGGTAGAACACTGACATCCTTCTTGCTGAATTGCATATCTACAGACATGTGTGGACTGATACGTATCACACAAGTATTCCTATTTCGTTGTTGGACCCGTAGTCCCGAACTCAGAGAGAGAGAGAGAATGCACCAAACCTGAAGCCAAACGTGTTATTTGCTTAATGACGAGTACATCGAATGCGGAAAGCGTAGACAGAAAACAAACCAATCAGAGCAAGAATAAAAGTGCAGTCGGTATCGACCAATGTGAGAACGTTATCTGATCGATCCCGTGGGTGTATGTGTGTGGTAGTCTGAGTAACATTAGCACCGGCTGCTGTAACATGGACCGTTTCACTAGATGGCCAGAAGGCATCCTTGTATCAGAATGCACAGCCTAGTCTACCGTCCGTGTCCGCCTGGAACTCTGGATCATCTTGTTATTGATGCCCATGCACCATCGCAACCGACGGTGGAACGTCTGTCGAAGCTTCATAATTCCATATGTTCTGCAACTTCTTAGACTACCACCATATTTACATCCCGCAGCTAATGGCCTAGCCGAGCGCTTTCAGCGGCAAGTTAAGTCATCTCTGTTTGCCACTTCTGATCCTGACTGAAGCGAAAATATTGCACTAGTACTTCTAGGTATTCGTATCAGCATCAAACTGACCTGCAGTGCGCACAAACAGATGGTATACGGCAAAACAACTAAGCTCAATTCACACTCTTCACCATCGTATATGTCGCAGTCGAGCTTCACATCTTCCCTTTCGCAGCGCATGAGTTCATTACGCCCTACCACTCTACGTGAGCAGAACCGAAATTTGGAAATGCACAACAGACTTTTTACCTCCACACACGTGTGCGTTAGCACACACACAGTGCGTCGTTCTGTTCAGCCTTCTTACCCAAGTATTTTAGGGTTTGCTTTACTTTACACCATAATGGTCATTGAACAAAGGTTTTCATCGAGCGCCTCAAGGTGGCCTTCTTAAAAGATCCACCTCTAACTTCATGGGGTACAGAGGAACCGGTACAACCACATGCAGCTTCGCCTTTTGCACCAAACAAACCAGATGATTTTATTACACTTGAACATCTCCCAACCCAACCCCGGTCAACTCACCAAGGTGGCCGACAGGTCAAATTTCCAGTCCACTTTTGCGATTTTGTTGACATATGCTATTGAACTTAACATGGATTTTTCGCACTTTGTGATTATGGTGTTTTATTCACAAACGTTCTGCAAAACAAAGACCCAAAATATTTGAAAAACTAAAAAGCTATAGTATATTATTCTCCTCTACTTGCCTTACTTTCCACCCTGCTGCGTGCCGCCTGTCCCACCACGTCCAACTATTCCAAAGTTTTACATTCCAGAGTCAAATTCACCCGAAAATACGCGGCGTTTCCTGGTACGATTGCCCGGAGCCTGAGACCCATCAACTTGTTTCCATCCGATGTCTGTTTCCCACTGTGCAATTGCTGATAACTTCTGACCTGGCCCACGATCGCTTAAGTACATTTTTCTAGCAACAATGCATGGAATTCTCCGTGGGAGGTGGACCGTTTTGACCGAGGACTGGGGTGCAGTTGAGGGAGTGGCCCCTCCCAAGCGCACCATGGGGCCTGCAGCGGAAGACCTGTACTGTAGGTCCTTTTATGGACTAGCCAGTGTTTTGCACTCTGACCAGCTCGCTCCGACGGCCTGCCGACGATGCACTAAGAAGCCTGGACACAGCGAACTCAGGGGGCCGCCTTCCTGTTTGCTTGTGCTTACTCCAATTGCTACCAAACTGTTCCACCCTTACGTTGCATTCCCAGCTGATGCCTCCATCGAATGCTTCACTCAAATCAGCCTTCTAGAGAGATATAGCTGCTCTAAAGATGAAACATTTACACTTTCAGTAGTTTGAAACATTGGGTTTTTATTGTTGTCTATATCTTCCGATCGACAATATGTTTCACAGATGGTACAATTCCGCTCATTTGCTCTCCCCGTGAGTTACACTGCACAGTCTGCTCTGTCTGCTCTTTCTCAACTGCTCTCCATTCTTTGTAGCTCTTGTCAATATACGTCGGGTACTTTCGGTTCAACCGATCCGACTCTTATCCGTATTCTAGTAGTTGGCACTCCACCGCTTGAGATCAGTATTTGAGTAGCATCCCATAATGTCTATTGATCCGGACGTCCAGGCTCTGACCATCACATTCAACACAGCTGTCTTCGCAGATGCATGTACAATTACATTAAAAATGGATGCAGTGGGAACCAGATATGTCTTAACTGCTATTAACCGTTTACTGAGCACTGGATACTTCGTTAATCCAGTTACTTAATCATTGGCTCTCATTCGCATCCAACAGCCTCATAGATACAATCCACCCAAAGAAATGCAATTGCTTTGTGGTAGAATGCAAAATGAACGCATTATCAATTTATCTAGCAAAATTCGGCTGCTACTCGCTTGCGAGATGTCACATACATGCCTGAACGTGGACAATTGAAATGGACGATGCTGTGGACAATTTTCAAATTTCAGTTTATGAGTTGCTCACTCGAATATAGTTTGTGTTTGAAGGAATAACATACTTTGAATAAAAACTTATTTTAATTGTTGTAAGAAATATTTTTGACTTACCGTCAACTTGAAATCCTGCTTTAAAGTAGCCTGAGAAGGAAAGCTGGTCATTTTCTTTCATTGCATTTTCCATCCGTTCTTTAACATACTCTTTGGATAGATCAAGCACATCCTCTGATGAATATAATACCTCCGATTTCACAACGATCACGCGACTGGGAAGGATAGTGGTTCCAGTTGAAATCACTCGTCCTCGGAATCGATTGAAAGAAGTCACTCGACATCTTTGTGGATTCCGTCCAGGAATGCTGACGACCAAGACGTCCAGTAGCTGAGTCAAAGGCATGGAACCAAACATCATTACAGTAAACGCCTATCCACACCTCTAACAGTGTGTATTCTCGAAAAATTTATTGCATCCGAAATGACTGTTCTCGAGACGAGCACACTTTGCTTGGCTAATGAGTCTAAAAGGTACCGCATTGGTGTGCCACATCCTGTAACTTAAGCGTTCATGCCATCGGATCTGCGATGCACACAACTTATGGTTTTACATATATGTCTAATGAGATCACCGCTTTGTTATCGTTATTTGCAATTATCAATCCAGAGTGACAGTTTATTTACACGCGCCATTATCAGCGGATATAATTCGGGGATCTCATTTGCGATCGTGTGTTCCAGATATAGTGTAAAGTTAGGACACTCATTCGTGTCTGCGATTCTACAGAAAGCTCACAGAACACCGATTATTCTTTATTTCTGACAAAGTTTAACCTAGAAGTCGGTTCCAATTAGTGCATTAGCGATTTTCATAAATTTGTTATAAGCTGCTCAGTGCTGATGGCTTTGTTCCAGGCTTGAATCGAAAAAATATCACTTTAAAAGACTGAATGCGTTGTAGTCAAGACTAGGCGCAGAAAAGTACATCTCCACTAGGTCGCCAATTTCCCCCGCATTAACGAATCGGTGGCCCGAAGACCTCGAGAGGAGCGCGGTGACGGACTCCAATAGTTCGCCTAAGGTTTGGTAACGTTGTACAGACGACAGTTTGGTTATGATTGGGCGGCTGAAGACGGAGGAGTCTATAAACTACTGTAACTCTCTCAATGGTAACGTAAACTTAACTATCAAACCAGAATCTTGCAGTGTTACCCGGCTATTTTTAACCGCCCAATTCGTAGGAATTAAGAACGGTGAAAAACAACGACATATCGTAATCCAATAGATAAAGGCGAAGTACTTCATTATGGTTCGAGTCATTCCAAAGACTTCTATATTGCGATCGCCCCCACTTAGATTCATAGAGCCCAGATTTTGTGCACAGAGTAAGAGGACAAGAGCGTCGCCAAGAAAGAGGGTGTGAAGAAGTTAATATGGATTGGATAACAGAGGCGCTTAATGGAATTTCAGCTACAGATAGCCCTAGATTAATCTTCAAGATGTACGACGGAGTAGACTTGTACGGTTGGAATGCCTTATAAAGTAGGAACTTCCAAAGCGATTAGGTGTACGCTAAACCTGGAGAAAATATGGGTGGCATTCCAAAGTGGCCAAACGCTCCTTACCCACTAGTGCTTTTGAAGGACCCAATTCCGAAAAATGGAACACCAACAGAATCAGCCACAAGGACAGTGCAAACATGCACATACGTCAAAGTTTGAGACAACTGAACACAAGGGTAGTAGAATCCAAGATACTCTTTTCGTGTCCAGGGAGAAACGAGCTTGACTACTATGCTCTGGCTGTACAAGCGCTGCAGTCAGGACACGAAATCGACTAGGAAGATTTAGAGATCATTAGGAGATGAATATCAGCCAGAGGCCGAAAATAAATTGCTGATACGATAAAAATCGTAATGACCAATAAATTGGTGAACATAAAATACGGGATGGTGTTGTCAAATGCGTGGCGGTTATCTTCTCCCGGCCAGCTTTAACAGCGTCGGCGGACGTACTTAGGTTGGAGCGAAAAGGTGGAACTATCACCGCCAGAATTAGCAGCGGCAAGAACTACAGCGCTTAACATGTGAATGACCTGAGACACGGATCAATTTGCGTACCTTCTAGGCCCATAGTACCACTCGAAGACCTTAGCAACCAGTGAAACTAGAGACGGCCACCCACTAACTCGGATTATTTCTAGCAATCATCGTCTTAAGATGTTAGCAAATGGTAAGCCAATTCAGTACTAATTCACCTGAATACTGAATACTGTATTATAGTGCATGTAAAAACAAATTCTGTACAACTCTATCGAAATATGCTGAAAAACGTTATAAAAATTGTCAGCCTTGAATATCGTTAGCGTTCTCAAGCAATATTTAAAATATCTGGCTCACGGTATTTCAGGACTCAAAAATGGGAGATGTCTTCATAAGTGTGTAATCGTTCTCTGAATCGAATAGTGATAAAATGTAAATCTAGCAACGTTTTAATCCGCTACACATATGTTGTCACCATCACATAGTCAGGCAAACTGTTCCAAATATTTACCACTCTCCGTTCGAAACCAAGTGGGTAGGGAACTCGCTTCACATCCGGCACGACAAGTTTGTATCGGTGTCCGCGTGTGCCGCATAGCCCATGTAAGTGCAAAATTGGCCACAGCATGCGGAAGTCACCGAGATGCAGAATACGGTAGGTCATAATGAGGTCGACTCGCACCCGACGGTAGGTCAAGGTGTAGGGTCCTAGTTTCTCACACCGGTCTTCATACCAAAGCCACATAAACTCGAAATGAGCCTGGTATCAACATGTTGGACCCGTTCGATGTTTTGATCCTCATCTCGGGTAATCAGAAAGTAGGCGGGCGAACCGTACTCTAGCATTGGTCTAATGATGGAAGAGAAGAGGCAAGTGGCAACTTCTTCAGACCATGTGTCGAAGCTACGTTTGAGCGCCTAAATCATGCGCAGTCCGTTACGATATAGCCTTTTCGCGTTGTCCACAGACTTTAAATCGTAGCGCGAGAGTACACCTAGGTCCTTCATGGATGGTGTGGGATATAGCGGTTGGCCATCAAAGGTGTATGTTCGGCCGTCAGCACCCTTCCCCAGGCTCATAAATACTGACATGGCTGGGTTGAGCGGGAAATGAACTTCTGCAGACCATGTGTATAGGCGGTTGAGATCTTGCTGAAGTAGTCCACAGTCGTCGGTAGCGTCAATTTCTCTCCAAATCTTTATGTCGTCCGCAAACAAAGCGTACGGCGACCGGAGAAGCTGAGCTAGATCGTTGATGTGGATCAGGAACATGGTGAGCCCCAGTACAGTGCCTTGAGGCATGCCACTTGTAGTGGGATACCAGTCAGTTAGATAGTTGTTGACCTGTACCCTCCAATTTCGTCCAACAAGAAAGTCGCGGATCCACCGGTGCAGTGAGCCACTGACACCACACATCAAGAGTTTGTGAAGGAGAACCTCATGGCTGACCTTGTCGAACACTTTAATGAAATCAATGAATGTCACCTCGATAGATTTCCCCCTGCTTATTGCATTCAACCACTCATGCCTCATCACACACAAGTTTGTAATGCATAATAGGCCTTGCATACAGCTACAGAACTCCTGCCCCCTAGAGCTGGTGTCAAAAACTGAACGCTCGATATGCGCCATCTGACATGTGTAGCTAGTGTTGAAGGAAGAATAACTGCGCGTCCAAAACGTGTACGATTTGTGGTTGACTTTGTGAAAAGTGCTGGTTGGGGAGGAGAGGGAGCACTGGAGCAGCACATGGCTTGGGTGGGTGGAGTGCTCTGTGGTGGCGTTTGTTCAGCGTCAGTGTCGGGAGTCTGTTGCGGTGAATGGAATTTGACTTAGGCTTGTTTCAGGCAATCCATAGTGGCAGTTTTTAGAACGATTTCTGTACAATACGAACTACGTCTTGCGAGCGATGCCTTTGAAAGGGCCTTCGTAAGGCGGTGTCAAATGCTTGCTAACCGCATCGATGCGTACGAAAACGAAGGGGCACGTGTGCAACGCGGGGTGAATGTGGTTGTTTCGAGAAGTAAATTGCGGTGACGCTGAACGAATGGTGCTGAAGTATTGTTCCAGTCGTAAAACACATGACGTAGGATCAACTTCGCCGGTGACCCTGGAATCCAGTACTAATTCTCCAGGAGGTCTCCGTTTCGTATCGAAGGCTAAGTCTGTGAGACAACAACCGACATCTTCCTTCACAGCATTGGGGATACCGAGGAGAATGATCGGTAAATGCATCGACCACCGGATATTTGTTTGCGCCGCAGGCAGTGCGGTCTTGCCTTGGCGGTGGAACTGCACGACTAAACGGCTAGCTGCCGGATTATATGATGTAGTTGTAAATATGAACAGCCAAGCATGCTGTTAAGGTAGCGAAACAGAGCAGGATTAAACTGGGTCCTCCATCCGTGGTGATAGTGAGAGGGTGTCAAACACGGATATGCAATTTTCTATGAAAGTTCCTGCCGCTGTCTCGGCAGACGATTCTCGAAGCGGCACGTCGTGTGGTCAGCGTGTGAAGCGATCGACGCATGACAATAAGTAAATAAAGCCGTTGGATTACGGTCGAGGTCCAACGACGTAGATATGGATATGCTTAAATCGAGCGTTGGGCAGAGAACATGTTCCATGAACAGTAATCGAGTGGCGATGTAGCCTGCTTTTCTGGCGGGCAATACAGTGTTTCGCCAACTGCTGGATATCAGAGCGCATGCTGGGCCAGATGTACCGAAACGTACTCCGGTTGCTGGCAGTGCGGTTGCTCGGATGGGCTATTCCATACAAGTGGTCAAGCACAACTCGTCGATACTGTTGCGGAACGAATGATCGAGGCCTTCCCGTGGACATGTCACAGTAAATTCGAGAGCCCGTGTTGAGAACAGGCAGTTGAGGAAGTTTAACAGAAGGATTTGACTACAACTGCTCTAAGCCAAGATCCGCTTCTTGATGGGCAGCGATGTCTTCTAGCTTGATTGCTTGGCGCGAAACCTCGTAAAAAACCAATGCCGGACAATGCGTCGACTACAACATTGTGGGCTACATCGACGTGTTGAATGGCGGCGGCAAACTGTGATCTGTAATCCAACTGACAAAACAGGAAAATCAAAAATAAGGTGTTTATGACCCGGAAGGATGGTGAATGCACCTATTGTAATGAGTTATTGATCGGAGTTAGGTAAGCTCAGGATCATTGGCTTGTACGGCAGATATCCTCTCCAGGTCGATGGGTCTCGGTGACAGTTGATTCAGATGAGCACGATAATGCTTCAGCAACAGTGTTGTTGGGACCGTCGATGTAACAGATCTCCACACAGTTGGGTATGAAATTGCCGTAGTAGTTGACTATGCCG